CACACACACACACACTCACATACACACTTACACTGACTCACATACACTCACACACACACACACACACACACACATACACTCATACACACACACACTCACAAAGACACACACACTCTCACACACACGACAGCATGATAAAACAGGAACTTGAGACACGTCTAGAGAGCAGAAGATCTTAGGCTGCGTCTGATCTCACATTCGGTCTGAGCAGGCGCTGCATTTGACAAAGCGCTTACTTTACAGTCATTAAAAAACTGTGTGTAGTATGAATGCAGTCTGAGCGTACTGTATACAACATGCTGTCATTGTCGTGTGACTGTCGGCCTCTCCTGTGGCCTCATGGGATGGTAAAGTGTCCATCAGAATCTCACCGTTTCTCCAGCCAAAATCCAAAACTGTTGCATATTTCCAGATATATAGGTTTTGAGCCACAAATAAATATAAAGAGATTCACACATTTTAAACAAATTCTCAAATAAATAGCATGAAAATATATACAGGAGTTTCACAAAAATGAATTATATTCACAAATAAGTGAAAGAGATTTCACTTCTAATAAAAAACGATCCACAAATATATTTCCCTTTGCATTTGTGGATCACTGCACACATTTTTGGATTTCTTCCAGTGCATTTGTGGATTTTGAGACATTTTTAGTGTCAAGACTATTAATTGTATTAACACTAACTATAAATTCTCATTCATTCTTTTAAGTATAAATGCCTCCTTCATTCATTCATTCATTCATGCAACTGAAACCCAGGAATGCAGAGGAAGTCATCCATAATGAACAGGAATGATTCACAAATGACTGGCAGGCAAAGTTGTGTTGGGACATTAAAACATATTTGTGGATGTTTTTATTAGCAAATCTCATTTTATTTATTTTGTTAATTGAATTCATTTTGTGAAACTCCTGTATATATGTGTGGATTTCATTCTATTTATTTGTGAATTTGTTTTATCTATTGATCTGGAAATATGCAACAGGTTTGAGTCCACAGATGCTGTTTTTTTGTAGTTTTGGTATGTGCTGATGCTGAAGATGCGTTGCGTGTGTTGCAGCTGCTGAAGGACATCAGTCAGAAGCAGCGAGATCCGCGGCAGCGTCAGGTGGACCTGCGGAGGGCGTACATCACCGCCCGCTTCACACCCGCCACCCTGCCTGCATTCTTCACACTCGGAGACCAGCTGGACTACGGAGGCTTCGAGAACCGCGCATTAGAACCAGGTCAGGAGTACGTGTTCTTCATCCTGGCAGAGCTCAACTCCACCACCGGGGTAAGATGTGTGTGTGTGTGTGTGTGTGTGTGAGTGAGTGTTTGTGTGTATTAGTGTGTGTGTGAGTGAGTGTGTGTATGAGTGTGAGTGAGTGAGTGAGTGAGTGTGTGTGCGAGTGCGTGTGTGTGTGTGTGTGTGTGTGTGTCTGCTTTATTTATGTGCTTCTGCTCTTTGAATTTCTTTCTGTCTGTTGAGTTTCTTTCATTAACTGCAGTTTCTCCTCGTTCTGTGTGTGTTTTCACTCATTAGCAAACGCAAGGACTCTGAGCCAGGAACTAAATGTTTGCTGAATAATGCTGAGATGATGGCGCACAACCCCACCGACCCTGTGGAGATGAGACGCATCAACTTCCAGACACCAGGCACGCACACATGCACTCACACACACACACACTCATAAACATATGTATACACTCACAAACACACACACACACACATACAAACACACGTTTGCACTCACACACACACATATTCGTACACATGTGCACTTGCACACACATTTACATACACACTTGCATGTACACGCACACACACACACACACATTTACAAACGCACACACACATTTACATACACACTTGCATGCACACACACAAACACACACACTCACAAACACACGTATACAAACATACATATGCACACACACACTCATAAACACATGTATACACTCACAAACACTCACACACACACAAGCACACACATATTCATACACACATGCACACACACTCATAAATACATTCATGCACACACTCACAAACACACGTATGCACTCTCTCACACACACTTACATGTACACAATCACACGTACAGTACACACATTTGTTTGAGTATGTTAGTGAGCTCATCTCATAGACTTCCATTGTTTTTATAATCAGACTAATGATATTTTGTCTCCTAACCCTAAACAAACCCTCACAGAAACCTTAAATAGAAACATGATTTGGCTGATTTATAAACCTTTTTAACTAGTGAGGATCAGTCAGATGTCCTCTCTAGTTGCTTGTCATGATATTTCACAATATAAGTGAGGACATTTGGCCCTCAAAAGTACAAATACACACACACACACACACACACACACACTGTCCAAAAGATTTGAGCTGTCTCTTAGTCTGCTGTCTACATAGGCAGCTCCCTTTTAAGGCTCCCTCACACTCGTAAGTGTCACACACCTCACTCCTCACGTGAAGCACATCACATACTGGGTGAAGTAGTGCAGTTTTAATTAGGTTTGCGTTTGTGTCAATATTTTTCATTATGGAATGAACATATTAATAGTCAATATTTCCACCATCTCGGATTGATTCTTTCACTGAGCTTGCAGCAGTGCATTCTGGGATTGAAGAAGGCAGAATAGTTTATCGCAGCCTCAGTAGGCAGCACACGAGGTGTTGTGACACTCACCAGGTGTGAGAGCTCTTTCGGTGACGGCAGTCGTAAGTGATTCACACGCACACAGCTGAGGTGATGTTTGTGGGTCATCTCCATGATGACCGCTGTGACCTTTGCCCCCGCAGGTATGATGAGTCACCCACCCATCCCCATCTCTGAGCTGCCCGAGCACACGGACCACCTGAAGGCCAACGACAACCTGCATCTGTCGCAGGAGTACGAGGTGAGTGATGCACCGTCACTGCGCTCTTCTGCAGAGTCCTGTTTTATTCATGCTGGCGGTGTGATGCTGAGCACTGTCTAGAAACCACAAAAGAACAACACAACATCAGATAGATAGATAGACAGATAGATAGATAGATAGATAGATAGATAGAACAACAGACAGATAGATCGATAGATAGATAGATAGATAGATTGAACAACAGACAGATGATAGATAGATAGATAGATAGATAGATTGAACGATAGATGGATAGATAGACAGACAAACAGACAGACAGATAGATAGATAGAACAACAGACAGATGATAGATAGATTGAATGATAGATAGATAGATAGTTAGACAGACAGACAGACAGATAGATAGAACAACAGACAGACAGACAGATTGATAGATAGATAGATAGATTGAACGATAGATAGACAGACAGACAGACAGACAGACAGATAGATAGAACAACAGACAGACAGACAGATTGATAGATAGATAGATAGATTGAACGATAGATAGACAGACAGACAGACAGATAGATAGATAGATAGATAGATAGATAGATAGATAGATAGATAGATAGATAGATAGATAGATAGATAGATAGATAGATAGATAGATAGATAGATAGATAGATAGATAGATAGATAGATAGATAGATAGATAGATAGATAGATAGATAGATAGATAGATAGATAGATAGATAGATAGATAGATAGATAGATAGATAGATAGATAGACAGACAGACAGACAGATAGATAGATAGATAGATAGATAGATTGAACGATAGATAGATAGACAGACAGACAGACAGATAGATAGATTGAACAACAGATGATAGATAGATTGAACAATAGATAGATAGAACAACAGACAGACAGATAGATAGATAGATAGATAGATAGATTGAACGATAGATAGATAGACAGACAGACAGACAGACAGACAGA